GGTTTTCATTTGGTGTTCCGTGCCCGCTCCAGGTGTACGAGAGCAGGAGTGAAGAAATCTGCCATTGGTTGCAGGACAGGGAAGATGGTCTACTTGGAGGTTTATGGAGATTTTCAAGCGGGGTTATATGTGGTGCAAGTATAGTTAAAATCCATATTAGAGAACTTTACAACCTACTTATAGCTACCCATGAACATCCAAGTAAGGGATCGGCACGCAAGATAGCCTAAGGGAACAAGGCTCCGGGCTTCACAACGTTGTTCAGGTTGTATGGTTCCGCCTCGTGTTGTAGAAAGTCCGTGCGGAGCCTCCGAAGCTGGACATGTTTAGGGTTACTATAATTATAACGGTCACTATAGGGTTACTACACGGGTGCCATACCACTACTATAAGGGATTGATGAGGTGACCGTACGAGTGTTGGGGTTGCCACAGGGGTCTTGTACGGTTACGACACGGTCCCACCGGGCTACTACCAGGTCGCTGTAAGGGCATTGCAGGACTACAGGGTTACGGTGGGCGGGTGCAGTCTCTGAACGCAAAGTTTCAAGCAGATAATCGTGGGACCCTCTGTGATTTATTAACTACAATACTCAATAAAGCCCAAAGCAACCAGCAGCTTCATACCACCCAGAGCACGGCCCCTATACCCCGAAGCACGCTGATGCTCGAGCAGAAGACTGTAGGATTGCCCCTGCACGATGGAGACCAGGCTCCACCCCGAGCCCCAACCCTTATAAAGCCCTAAACACAGAAACACAGGAGCACCCAGAAGTTTCGGGCTACGTCATCCTGGATGATCGCGACACTGCGGGCTTGGGGCCCAGCGCCCGCAGATTAGGGGGGCTCTAGAAAGCAGGATGTCGGCTAGGTTGCAGGGTCATACTACAGTATACCCTTATATGGAGACAACTTTGCTTGTGGCGAACGACAGAGTGGTATTGCACAGGGTCGTGAGAGTTGATTTCGGCAATCGTTGCACAGAGGGAATCGAAATGGGGGCTTGTCAGGATTAGGGCAGAGAAGAAGAGTGCCATAATATGGCGGCCTTTAAATTACCCACACCATCTTGTGGGCTCCTTGTCATAAGTATAGTATAGTGGGCCCCAAAACCCTATTCTAACTATTAGGGCCCCTCTCGTTATAGTACCCTTAATAGATCCCTTATAGTAGCCCTTATAGGCCACTGTAGAGGAACCCTATTCCATTATTAAAGCCCCCTATAGTGGCGAGGCCGGGCTTTCCCATGGCTGTGCTTAGATACACGTTCCATACTTTCGGATAGCGGTTTAGGGTTTAGGGTTTAGGGTTCCGCTTAGAGGATCATGGGACTTTAGTAAGTAGGTTGTAATTGGGGTTATGCGTCCACTAAGTGGGGTTATCCTAATTTATAACCTACTTATAACCTTACTAACTAAGTCCCATGAACCTTCAAGCAGGGTTTCTTAATCAGGTTCCTACATTACTATAGTACCCTTATAGTAACCCTTATTATAGTCCCCTTTCAGCTCGAAACCTCCAGAAGCACCGGCTGCGTGGCCGGAGCAAAAGCCCATGAAACGGTTTCGGGCCGGAAGCCTTCATGGCTATGAAGCTAAGCCGGTGATCTTGTGTCAAAGGGGAAAACGAGGGACACTTAATAAGGACCTCTAGGTATATACCCTTAATATAGCTATTATATACCCATTACATAGCCCATTATAGGGTAGGGGTCCCCATTAAGGGTCCCTCCTTTTCCCCTTTGATTGCAGTGAAGGCCAGGGCATGCTGAAGCCACACTTCGTGCATTGCAGGCCTGAAGAGCGGCTCGGAGGGGGGGGGAACTTCACTTGAAGGCTCATGGGACTTAGTCAGTAAGGTTCCTTACAGGGCTTCTTAAAGGGATCTATCGGCTCTCTTAGAGGGATCTATAGGGTTTAGGGTTTAGGGTCTACTTAGAGGATCATGGGACTTAGTAAGTAGGTTAGAATTGGGGTTATAAGTCCCCTAAGTGGGGTTATCCCATTATAACCTGCTTATAAGCTTATACTTACTAAGTCCCATGAGCCTCTAAGCATAGGCCTTTTTAAGTCCCCTGCCCCTGATCCTCCGAATAGCCCCGCCTTTTTCGAGCCGTGAGCTGGAGCCTGCCCTTTCTGGTTTTTGGATCCCCTGAGCCCCTTCAAAAAATTTGAGTTCTGCACCCGGAAACTCGAAATCCAAGGCCCTGAACTCCTTGGCATCCCCAGCAGACGGAATCAGACACGTCAGGGGTTACTTACCCAGTAGTAGAGTAGGCAACCTTTAACCTTTTTTGGGTAGTCTAGTCCCTATACAATCCCTATATAATCAAAACGTTAACCTTTAGTTCCCCATGATACCCGACAAGTAGGCTTAAAGAGTTCTTGTAAGGGCCTCAGTGGGTTTCTGCAAAGGCTCCTTGAAGGGGCTTCCTGCCAGGAGCGATTTGGGCCTAACCCCCGAAGATGTGGAGAAGGCCGGGCGGGTTGAAGCGCTGAAAGTCCTCTCGGAATCAGGGTTCTGGGTGCTGGGATGTGTAGGATTTATAAATTCTCAAGGTTTCGGGTTTGGGCTTTTGAGGGCTCCATGCTAAGCGCTTCTGAGGATCACCAAAAGGGCTGCATCTGATGATGATCTAACATCTTGTTACATACCTCTGGATCTCCAACCGAGCCGCAAACCCTATGCCGTAAACAAGACATAGCACCGACTTTTCTGGCAAAATCAAGAAGGACACCGTGAGCATGATCCGATGTCTAGACCAAAAAACCGTGCTGCACACCCTAAGACCATAAACACAACCCTAATCCCTAAACCACAAGCATAAAGCCCCAAACCCTAAACCCCAAACCTCTAAACCATAGCCCCTACACCCCTAAACCACAAACCCCGAACTCCAAACCCGTAAACCAAACTCAAAAACTTTGGATGCCCCAAGAAGAGGCCTTGGAGATTCTGCAGATGCCCCGCTTAGATCTCGTCGACGCCTTGCTGCAGAGATGTGGGCGGCTGTCAAAATTAGGGTCCCTTTTTGGGTCCTTTTTCCAGTACGGCACCTAATACTTAGGCTACCCAAGAAGGGACCATAATTTTGACAACTACCCATGTGGTTTTGCTACAAGTGTCATCGTTTGTGTCATCATTGTTCGGTTTTGGCATATTCTTCCAGATTGCGCTACTGCCACAGCTACGAGTGGCTCTTTCTGTCACTATCACGATCACCACGCTGGCCAAACCAGGATTCCCACATCATGCTCCTCGGCCTACTTTAAACTCTAGCACGAACCAGCAACAGCTACACTCAAAACCATTGCAGCAACAGCAACGTCAAGAACGACTGCAACTGAGCAACCACCACCAGTAATACTGGACGTTGGCGGCGAAACTGCGGCGATGACGGCGACCACTCCCAAAGCCGTTGATGCTGCACATATGTCTGCTGCTTCTATTGCCGTCCTGAGGTGTGTGTGCTCATGAGCTTCATGGTAAGCTTAGTGCTGCCGGCAGCTTTGGCCACAGCTATGTTTGCTCCCCCTCCTCAAAGCCCTGAACAGCCCAAAACCCAAAGCCCGAACCCTAATCCCAAAGGCCTCCCGAGACCCTTTGAGGCGACTGGAAAAAGGAGCTCAAAAAAAAAGGCCCTAGGCTCTACATCTTGCAAGCCCTAAACCCTGAATCCTAGAAGTTCTAAACCCTGTAAGATAGCCCTAAAGCCCGAACCGAGAACCCAAGAACCCTTTGCAAGGTGACCCTTACTTAAAGGATCATGGGACTTAGTATTTACGGTTATTATTAAGGTAACCATACTTATCACCCCAATTAAAGTACTTATAGCCATACTTACTAAGTCCCATGATCCTCCCAAGTAGACCCTAAACCCTAAACCCTGTAGATCCCTGTAAGGAACCCTCTAGATCCCCTTAAGGAGCCCTCTAAGGACCCTCACTGAGTCCCATGATCCTCCAAGTAGCGTAGACCTGCAGCGGTCGAGGCCCGAGCTCCCCCGGCGTAGTGAAAGTCGCAGCGCACTTAGAGCAGCCGAAGCCCTGAACCCCACCCTAACACCCTAAAACCCTAAAACCCTAAACCCTAAACCTCTAAACCCTAAACCCTAAGCACTAAACCCCAAACCCTAAGCCCGAAGCCCCCCAAACTCTACGAGCCTTGTGAAGCCTTACCATGTCTTCGCTCCCAGGATCTTGGTCCCGCCTGAGCTGCAGAAAGCGCTGGCTGTGGTAAAAGAATCCTTAGGGAAGGGATCTATAAGGGTTCTATAAAGGGTTTAGGGTTTCCGAATCTTAGGGATTAGGATGCCCAGTAGTACCCTTATTCCCTTTTTGTAGTCCTAGGTTCCTTGTTAAGGTGCCCAATACCAAAAAGGGAGCCCTTTTTATTCCTCTGTTACGGGGCATCCTAGATCCCTCTCGGGTCAGGCTTTGAGGGTTTATCGCTAGGGTTCGGGAGTTTAGGGCACATGGTTTAGGAGTTTATGGCAAAACGTTTAGGGGTTCAGGGTATAGGGTCGAGGTGTTTAGGGTCTAGCGGTTAAGGCTTTAATTCGTACGGGTTCGGGATTTTTGGGCTTTATAGTTGGGCGGGAACGCGTCGGAGGCTTCCTTTCGGCGAGTTAGTGAAGTAAGGTTTTGGGTTCTTTTAGTTGTGGGTTCAGGGTTTGGAACCAGAGATCCAACATCCTCTTGAAACTTCGACGCAGGTTCTGTTTCTTATCGATCCCCCCGATGCCTTAAGTTAAGTCAAGCCGCTCCCAAGGGAATCATTCGATCTAGGGGTGTAGGGTTTGAGTCCCAAGCGCCGATCTGTTGGACACCCAAAACCCTGGGAACTAGACCGTCGATGCCCGAAGCCCTAAGCCCTACGGACTCTAAGCCCTGAAGCCTTTCACCCGAAGTCCTAAGCCTTAAACGAAAGGAACCTTAAATCCCGAGCACATTACAAACCCTAGAATCTTCTCATCTTCATCCTAAGCCTCGAACGTGGGAGGAGCAGCTGCGTCTCCAACGCCTCGCCGAGGCCTTTGCTTGGGGTGGCCGGGAAGTTAAAGCTTTCTTGGAAGGTTCAGGGATAGTTCCAGAGCCTCTAGAAAAGGGCAAAAAACCCTAAACCCTAAACCTTTAGACTCCTAAAACCCTAAACCCTAAACCCCAGGGCAAGTTTAGGGTCGGGTTAGAGTTTAGGGCTTTGGACTTTCATTTGGTACTTGCACAAGCTTAGATCTGTCGAGGATTTGGAAACAGAAGCATTGCACGCCTGCCAGGTTTGACAATTAGAGGGTTTCCGAAAATAGGGGACCCTAATCTAGTACCCTAAGTAGTAGGATTTTTCTTTATAAAAACACCCAAATAAGGTACCCCCAATTTTCGGAAACTCCCATTAGATGGTTTCAGGACTTTGGAGTCCGAGAGCTTGGGGTGTCGCAGTTGCTTTTTTCCTCCCCGAGTTCTGGGCAATGTTTAAAAAAGGGGCCGGAATAATGACCAATACTATTTTTGCCCCACCCAAATCCTATGCTAATAATTCAGGCCCTTACATGACCTCCGGCGATCAAAGACTTTCCAAGGCCTGGAGTTTCGGGTCCCGGAGTCTTTCTTCAAACCTGTAGCCCACAGTACCGCACACCTGCATGAAGATCCCTGAAACCAGCAAAAGACCGAAACCCCGGGCCCAACCCTGAACAAAAGCCCTTCTGAAGCCACCGGAAAGCCCTATATGGGTCGTTCTCTAAATTAGGGTCTCGTTTTTTTGGGCCTTATGAAAAGGGCCCTAAAAGGGACCCCCAATCTAGAGAACCACCCATACAATAGTATAGGTAATTATTTGGGCTCCTATATTAAAGATGAAACCCTAAGAGCCCAGATAACAGTCCCAGAGCCCCACGGCTGCCCAAGGAGAATCCATGCAACTCCCACGCCTGCGCGCAGGTCAAGACCTCCCCGCAGGTCCTCAGCAGCCGGGCGCTGCGGCCGAGTCCCGCGGGCGTTGACTTAAAGTTGGGGGTTTGTGCTGAAAGGATCATGGGACCTTAGTAACTATGGCTCCCTTAAAGGGCTCCTTTAAGGGATCTATATTAAGGCTTCTATATATGGGTTTGTGGGGTTACTTAAAGGATCCTGGGGCTTAGTAGTTACGGTTATTATTAAGGTAACTATGCTTATACATATAACCATACTTACTAAGTCCCATGATCCTCCAAGTAAGGGGTGTTCTAGGGGCCGCAAGGAGTTCTAAGAAGGGTCGAAGGGGTGTAGGAAGTCCGCTATTAAGACTTGGGGATTTATGGAGTTTCGGGGCCAGGGTTTGGATTCAAGTAAGTTCAAGACTCTGTGTTTAGGCCAGGTCCGTGCTAACACGCTGTTCTAGACCCTTATGGAAACCCTTACGAAACTTTAAAAGCACCTAGACTTCACCAAGCCATACAAACTCAATTCCTGACAAGGCCCCAACAAAACTCTGAGCCCGACATCTCTGAACCCCTCTAAGCGGGGCCCCTTTTGGTGCCCTAACCCGACATCTCTGAACCCCTACTAAACCCCTGAACCAGCCTAAACCCCCAAACCCTTAAACCACCCTAAGGCCCTAAACCCCTAAACCACCTAAACCTCCTAAACCCCAAAACCCTAAACCTCTAAGCCCGTATGGGAGTTCCCTTGTGGTGCTTCGTTGATCCTCCGAGGCTCTGCCAGCCGTGCCCGGCCCGAGAGTGGCCGCCGGAGGCGGAGGGTTTAGGGTTAGGGTTCAGAATTCAGGGTGTGGGGTTTAGGGTTCAAGGTTTAAGGTTTACGGTTTAAGATTTAAGGCTTAGGGTGTGGGGTTCAGAGTTCAGGGTTGAGGGTTCGAGGATCGGGGTTTAGTCCAGGTTCAGAAATCAGGGTTTAGAGTTGAAGGTTTTTCAAGTCAGGCTTTAGAGTCAGATTGTAGGGCTGTCTTTTCAGGCTTAGGGTTTGCTCAGGCGTGAGTGATCGCACTGGTTGGGATTTCGGGCGCTGGGTTTAGGGACACCATGCTTCCTATGTTCAGATCTTGACTTGGACTTGGGGCTCTAGTGCGTTGGTTTAGTGGTCGGCATGAAAAAGCTGTTGGTAAGGGGAACTATGATCTTAGCCGAAGCTGGGCCTGAACCCAAGACCCACCTGAAATAGAATCGTCTGCTTGACAAGGCACTTCAGGCTCCCCGAGTAGGGTTTGTAATTTTTCGGGCTGCTGTGGTTTCAAAGGTAAGATGAAGGTATGCGTAAGCTTGCTTTTGTAACAGGGCTCTTAAATAAAGTGATGCCATAGCATAACAATAATCTGCCCCAAACCCTGCTCTACAAGTATTACAGCTGCTACAGTATGAGGGGTGCATATGGCATATGGTTTCTGCACGGCTGCGCAGTGGTTTACAGGCTGGTTCCTGGCTAAAGGTGCCATAAGGGCATCACATTGGTACCGGAAGGGCGCCAGAAGGGCACCGTAAGGTCACAGACAAGGGCACCACAATAAGCATGCCATAAGAGTACTATCAGGTTGCTCCGAAGGGTACCAGAAGGTACTACAAGGATACCAGAAAGGTTTCCACAAAGGTAGCATTGGGCTAGCAGAAATTTATTCCAATGGAGCCCGAAGACCCTTAAAGGAGCCTGTAAGGGGGTTTAGGGAGTTTAGGGTCCAGGGGTTCTGCACGGAAGCTCGCATGCAGCTGCTTTCGCCTTGCATAGTGATGCGGACCGCAGAGTCTTCATTTCTCAAAGCAGGGCTCCTGCCAGCTTTCCGATGTTGGGTGCGGTGACTTCTGCTTCTTCGGAGGCGACTTACGCTAGCATAATTAATCTCGATGTCTCTTTTCTCGCTAGCTGCAGTGCCATCCTGTATTACCATACAAGGCTCGTCTCGGAAGTAAGGTTTCAGGATTGAAGGGTTTGGGCCCAGCTCGTCTCATAGCCATGCAGCCGCGTGGTCACTATCCGATCACGGTCGGAGCCTCAGGCACAGTATCAACGAAGAGTATGGCAATTGAATGCTTTCTTATCGCGATATCTTCACATGTTTGTTTTACGAGTATTCTGATTATGATTGCTGTTGTTATTCTTGCTTATTCATAGTGTTGTAATTACGTCTATTGCTGCTATTGTTCTTGTTACTACTGATTGCTCTTGCTGTCATCATTTTGTACTTGCATGACAGTGACCACTACTAGTACTGTTACGACGGCCATGCATGCAGCAAACGCATCTCCTCGGCTTTCTTCTGTCACTACATCCTCTCACATAGGGGTCGAACAATTTGTAAAACTGTTCCCTTCCTGCCCCTGTATAACATAACAGTCATAACTATACTATGCCCCCCAACCTTATTCTCACTATCAAGGCTCCTTCATTAACGCGGCATCCAAATCCCACGTCTGCGTTCTTCAAGTTGAGTATGCTATGCAAGTAGGAAGACGCTGCAACTTGCGTTCTTTCGCGGCTCTTTTTATTTGCCTCTTGTGCATGCGCTGTATTGCTTCCTTGTGCACAGGACATGATGATGATTCGCAATGACATCGTGAAGGAGGTCGACTATTTAGCCAGCCGGGCCCCCATTGCCATCCCGGGCCTTGTGAAGTCCGAAGGCCCAAGATCTTGCTACGTGAAAAACACCGAATCACAGCCACATCCTGCGTAGACCCCACAAGCCAGGCGAAGATTCTGCACCCGATAATAAGCTTCAATTCATATGACCCCTTCAAGGTACCCGGTTTCAGAGTAATTCCATCACAAAGGACCGGAAAATGGGATCCCATGCTGGATGGGGGTGTCGGGCTTAGGATCTATACATTATGTAGTGGTTGAGACCCGAGGCCCTCAGTCCCTTAAGTTGTCCTTAACCCACACCTCTGACACCTCGACAAAAAGGCCACATGTTCAGGGCTGGTGGTGCTTTGAGCTTGAGTAGGAGAGACGGCATGTTGGACATGCCCATCTTTCTGTGGTGGAATTTTCAAGGAGTCAAGAAAGGCGCCTTCCCCAAGCCCTGACTCTCAAACAAGCCGTGCTCTCTAGACCTTAAGCCCTGCACCATCTACATCCTGAAGCCTAAACCCAAAGCCTTGCACCCCAGGCTCTAGACTCTAAACCCCACCGCAGCTGCTTATCTCAAGAGTCCGTCGCCCTTCCGTCGGCTGGGTGATGCTGAGCCTGGGCTCAAGCTTGGCAGCTCGGGGTTTGAGCATCGGTTTCGGCTTTGGACAGGGGTTGATATACATGGTAACACTATCAGTAAGCATAAGGGCAGCTGCTACATTGGGTCATGATAACCAGGGTTGCATCATACAACTTGGGGATTCAGGGTTTAGGTGTTAGGGTTTGGGTATCAAGTGTTTAGGGCTCAGGGTTTAGGGACTTGGTGGCTGTATTTTGGCAGCTTGAACTAATCATGAGATCGCAAGTACCTAGTGATATTACTTGACTCAGCTTGATACCCCAATTCCAACAGGAATGTTTCCGGCATGAAAGCCGCGCAATCAAGACGTCACGTCGCATCGAATGAGCTTTCTGCGAGGCGGGAAAGCAGTAAACCTCCTCATATCCACTACAATGCCTGACAAAAGCCTCCCAACCTGCAAATCTACACCTGCAGGATCAAACGACTGGCCGCCCGCGCCGTCCTCGATCAATCATGGCCCCTACGCCTGCAAAGCCTTTTGGTTTGTGGTCACATGTGGGAGTTTCCGAAAATTTGGGCAGTTTTAAGAAGGATCTCCTGATTTCGGAAACCTACACATGTTGGGCTTCGAAGGCATGATTGCGGGCCTGTGGAAATTCACGGTCCTTTGCAAGGTCCTTGGGCTACTTGGGCTCTCCTGAAAGCGGATGGCTTAAAAAGAGCACCACTCTAGGACAACCCTCCGCCCAAAGCCGACTTAACTCAAAGTCTGCCGCAGAAGGGCCTTTGACGCAGCTAGAACAGCGTTCTCCGGCTAGATTCTGTGGTCCCTAAGCCTAGAAGCTTATTCTACCCTAAACCAGGAGAGGCAACTCAACAAGAAGAAGCAACATTTAGGCAGAAATCGTCCTCGAGAAAAAAAGCGTAAACCCGCAAATAGGTCCTCGCAAAGCAAATACATACACCTATGATGCGAAACCTAGAACTATGATTTTCTGAACTCAGCGCCTAGACCTTGACACAACAGGCCCTCAAAACCAAAAAGCCAGCACCTAAACCTTGCATTCTATGAAGCCCCGACTCCCAAACCTGAGCCTTTAACCCTACAATTCGTCGAGATATCCCTGAGTCTTCCCCCCCCTCCCCCCCGAGGCATGCCCGGCACGGCCTAAAGCACTTTAGCGGCAAAGCTCGGCGCAGAGCTGCGGCCGGGTCCCTGCGAGGCCCCGGGAGGGTTCGGGCTTACGAGTTTAGACTAAGGTTGAGGGTTTGGGGTTTATGGTTTAAGGTAAAGGGTTTGGGGTTTAGGGTTTTGGGGTTTTGGGGTTCAGGTTTAGGAATTTAGGTTGAAGTTGGGGGGTTTGGGGTTTGGGGCGCCTTCATGGGCCTGGCCCGCAGGGTGCAAGTCTTGAAGCGGCCCTTCCGGTGAATTCCTAATTTCAAGCTGGGCTCCCGAAAGCCCTTCCGGTGTGATCATGGTGTCAAGCTGGGCTCACGAAGGCCCTGCCGGCGAAATCACGGTTTCAAGTGGGGTCACGAAGGCCCTTCCTCATATCCCAAAGTTGTATTAAACCCCCCCAACCCAATTCTAATTCTTCGGGCCTGTATAGTACAACCAGAATGTAGTACAGACATCCCATGACCTTCCTCTGTTTTGGACAGACACCGAGCCCATAGTCCCAAGCCTCCACCAGAGCACCAAAATCGAAGAGGCGACCCAACGAAAAGCCATCCAAAGAAGCAAGCTGACAGCAAGAATCCTTCTCCAAACCCTGAGCTCTAAAGAGTAGGGCCCTAAACCCTAAACCCTGCGGAGACAGGCCACTGCATCTTAGAAAACAAAGAATAGGGCCCTTAACAAAGATTGGCCTAAACCGACTACCAGGGCTCCACCTGCTTCCGGCCGGGCGCCGGGGCCGGCGCCGCGTCCTGGACGCCTCGGCTGGGCTGGTGCGAGCGGCGGAGGCTTGGATTTTGGGGGCTTAAACTTACTGCTTACGGTCCATAGGAAAAGAGTCCCCGGCCTTCATCCGCTAAAGAGTCTGCTAAACTTACCTTGGTTAGTAGGGAATGGAGGAATGGGGTACAATTATAACCACTATTACTACCATTCTTCCATTCCTTACTAACCAAAGGTAAGTAAAGTTCGGCGGCTTGAGTTCTTGTTTGAAATCGGGGCGTAGTGTTTTTTAGAAGAGGTTGTTTCGGAGTTTAGGGCTGGAGCAGTGATTTGTTGTGTTTGGTTGGGGTTTAGGGGCTTTGGGTCCAGGACGTTTTGGCGGTTTGCAAAGTTTCGGACATGACTTAGCTTGCAAATCAGATGAGCTTTCAGCTGCGTCGTGAACATGTCATGTGCGGAGCCCTAACCCAACACATCCAACACCACTTTCTGCAGTTAGCAGACCGTTTTTGCAATGGCCTGTTTCGCAGATCCTTCGATTCCATGGGCAGTTTTCAAGACATGGCCGAGACAGCAGTCGCTGTGTTTAAATAGATGTGTCAGGGACCTCTGCCTGCAACCCTGCCTTTCAATATAGGTGCCTTAATAATTACAATAAGGTTTTGGGGCCCGCTATACCATAATTTTGAT